AGAAGGGTTAGCAGAGGTAACAAATCCTGTAGAAGTGTTCGTATAAAAGATTTGGAGTTATTTATAAAAAATGGAAAGAATAGGAAGCAGCCATTACCGGACCCCCCTTGCGTACCGGAGGTCAAGGATACCGGCAGCCAGTGGATATAGGCGTAGTTACCGTAGTCGTGCACCTTTTAAGACCCAGTATGTTCGCAGACGGTACGTTCAGAATATTCCTCGATTTATTAAGAAGACTAAGAGGAGAGTAAGGAAATTACAACTATACAATGAACAATTAAGGGACGTTAAGTTTGATAATAAAGGTGTGGCGAGATTACTTAATGGTATTGAGTTGGGTAATAAGAGATCTGACCGTCAATCAGACACGATCGTGGTTAAGGGTATCAAATTCATTGGTAATGTTCAATTGGGACAGGATGCTAAGGACGAAGCTGTGGTCCACCACATGTTGTTTTTTGTCATCAGTGATAATAGTCCGTCAGATTCCGTCCCTACACCTGACAAGATATTTATTGGAGTTGGCGAGGGTAATCCTGAGACCTGGATTGTTGATCCTGACCAGTCCGACCGTTTTTGAATGCTAAAGAAAATGAGATTCAAGCTCGTTGGTGGCAAGGACAAAGAGTACGTTTGTCACGGGATAGAAGTTGTAGGCCGGTTCTTCCCAGTTGATGTTTGGACGGACTACAAAGATACGCTGTTGGGAAATGTTGGAAGCATTCAAAAGGGTGCCTTATATTTAGTGGCTGTTACTGTTAGTGGAAAGGAATGCAAAATTACTTTAAGGAGTCAAATGTACTTTAAAACTGTTTAGAATTGTAATTTGATGTATTTTTATTTTTAATGTTCAGGTTAATGGAGGTGGACGATATAAAAACTGGGAAGAACCGGTCTACAACTTTTATCCCGTGACGAACATACTCTTTGTCCTTGCCACCAACGAGCTTGAATCTCATTTTCTTTAGCATCCGAAAATGGTCGGACTGGTCAGGATCAACAATCCAGGTCTCAGAAATACCCTCGCCAACTCCAATAAATATCTTGTCTGGTGTAGGGACGGAATCTGACGGACTATTATCACTGATGACAAAAAACAACACGTGGTGGATCACAGCCTCGTCCTTAGCATCTTGTCCCAATTGAACATTACCAATGAATTTGATATCCTTAACCACGATCTTGTCTGATTGACGGTCAAATCTCTTATTACCCAACTCAATACCATTAAGTAATCTCGCCACACCTTTATTATCAAACTTAACGTCCCTTAATTGTTCGTCGTATAGCTGTAATTTCCTTACTCCCCTCTTAGTCTTCTTAATAAATCGAGGAATATTCTGAACGTACCGTCTGCGAACATACTGGGTCTTAAAAGGTGCACGACTACGATAACTACGCCTATATCCACTGGCCGCCGGTGTCCTTGACCTCCGGTACGCAAGGGGGGTCCGGTAATGGCTGCTTCCTATTCGTTCCATTTTTTATATATAACTCCAAATCTTTTATACGACAGGATCTGCACAGTTATAAGTTATAAGCTATTAGAGTATAAGTTATAATCACTTTCCCACAGCTCTACCAAACGGGGCAATAGTTTCAGTTCATGGACTGTTTATTATTGTTACAATTTGTTATTAATACTCAACATGCACCTTAGAAGAGAACAATAGCTTATCTATTTCTATTTCCTAATACAAACGAGCATAGGTAATAACATGAAATGATGAGGCAAAACAAAAACCAATAGCATGTAAATTATTTGTAAAGTTGAGTGACTTTACAGTGACTACTGCACTAACCACAGGCTTGTGTGGAACATTATTCACATCTAGCCAATAGAATCGTATCCTACATCAACACATACTATAAAATGGTTAATAATTATGGGGTCACCAAGTGAGATTTGAAAAATTTTAATGCTATACATCAAAATCTTAATAGAAGAATTAAATATGCCAAGAGAAAGAATGCACGTGGCAGTTCTAGAGATAAACTACCTTTTCATCACCTCTACAGGTAAATTACTGATACAGTACAACTACTTAAATAGAAAGACTCAAAAGGCAAGTAATAACACGCTTTCTTGCATAAAGCTCACACAAGTTTTTGATAACCAACACAAGAAAATTAGATCTCGGATGGTTATAAACAAAATTTCAATCTAACCTCGGATGCCAATTTTTCCAATTTTGATTTTAAATATACACATTTCCTACACCAGCTTGCCATCCTACAAATCCAAGTAAATTCAGATGACAACCCAACTCAATTCAATATAAGAGGAATCGTAATCCTACGAATAAAAAGCAAGGGAAAAAATTCCACAAAAAAATAAATAGTAAAGAAACAAAAAAAAACTGAAAAAAAAAAACTGTCATCACATCATAGCATGACCTTTCCACCAACAATCAATGGAACTTTTGTCTCAAATTTTTTTACTGACCATACTTGTTATTCGTAGTTGACAATCAATAAAACTTTTGTCTCGTGGCATAACCTATCAACCTTGTTTGTTATTCCATCAAATGTTCATATTTTATCTTTAAACCAGTAAAAGAGAAATCCGTTGCGAAAAAAAGAAGAAGAAAAGAAGTGGCAGCATGTCGGGATTCTATTGATATTTCATCAAATTAAGAGGCAGTGCATATGACCACTGCCGAAACCCTAACCCTAGTTCTAGAAACCCTAACCCTCTCCTCATCATCGTCTTTTTTGTCTTCTTCTTCTTCTTTTCCTGAAACCTTAACCCTAGATCTAGATATACCACTGTCGCAAACCCACTTCACCGCCCACTATCCATTGTTGCCCTTCTCTCATCTTTATTCCCTTTTTCTCATTCTTCTTCTTCCAAAACTTTAGATCGATCCACCATCATCGTCAAATCGCAACCCATTGCTATTGTCATCACCTCTCACCTTTGCCATCAAATCGTGACCTACTACCACCGCTCTCTGAAAACCCTAGATCTAGGGTTAGGGTTTTAGAAGAGGTAGAGAAAAAGAAGAAGGGAGGGGAAAGTGAGAGAGAAATAAGAAAACGAGACGGGGACTAGGAAGGCGACCAGCGAGGATGGTCGTAATGGTGGGTGCCAATGATGGTGGAAGGAGAAGGAAAGCAAGTGGAGGCAGGCGGTAGGTGGTGGAGTCCAAAACAGTAATTTTCAAAGGGATATAAGTGTAATAAAAAAAGGGTAAATTACAAACACACCCCCTAAGGTTTACTTAAATTACAACAAAACTAACTATTTACGGCTTCAACTTTATATGACCACCGCCAAAACCCTAACCCTAGTTCTAGAAACCCTAACCCTCTCCCCATCATTGTCTCTTTTGTCCTCTTCTTCTCCCGAAACCCTAATCCTAGATCTAGATATACCACTGTCGCAAACCCACATCACTGCCCACCACCCACCGCCACTGCCATCACCGCCCACTATCCATTGTTGCCCTTCTCTCATCTTTATTCCCTTTTTCTCATTCTTTTTCTTCTTCTTCTTCTTCCAAAACTTTAGATCGATCCACCACCGTCGCCAAATCGCAACCCATTGCCTTTCCCATCACCTCTCACCTTTGCCACCAAATCGTGACCTACTACCACCACTCTTTGAAATCCCTAGATCAAGGGTTAGGGTTTCAGGAGAGATAGAGAAAAAGAAGAAGGGAGAGAGAGAGAGAGAGAGAGAGAGAGAGAAATAAGAAGATGAGACGGGGACTAGGGAGGCGACCAGCGAGGATGGTCGTGATGTTGAGAGCTAATGATTGTGGCCAGAGAAAGAAAGCAAGTGGAGGCATGCGGTAGGTGGTGGAGTCCAAAATAGTAATTTTCAAAGGGATATAAGTGTAATAAAAAAAAGGGTAAATTACAAATACACCCCTGAGGTTTACTTAAATTACAACAAAACTAATTATTTACAGCTTCAACTTTACCACATACATTAAATGCACGTCGTAATTAATACATTCTACGACATATTTTTTTTTTCTTTTGCAAGCCGTTAATGGTTTTTCAAAAACGACACACATACCATGTAAGTCGTTAATTCATATATTTATGGCATACAAAAGTATGCCGTAAAAAATATATATTTTCACAACTTAAAAAATATGTCCTAAAATATTTGCACTTAAGACGACATACATTTCATGTTATAAAATATTATAACTTTACACGGCATGCATTAACATATCGTGAAAACTTCTACAAAAAAAATAAATAAATAAATAAATCAATTCGACTTGTTTTATGACATGCAAAAGCATGCCGTAAAAAATGCATATTTTCACAACATACAAAAATATGTCGTATAATCTTTGCACTTAAGACGACATACATTTCATGACGTAAAATATTATAACTTTACACGACATGCATTAGCATGTCGTGAAAACTTTTATTAAAAAATATTTCAATCCGATTCTTTTTGTTTGATTTAAAAAAACTAACAATTCCAGCCAAACTTCTCACCTTAAATTTTCCTAATTGAGGACAACGTAAAAAATAATTTATACATTATTTTATAATTTAGTGTCTTCTTTTAAGGGATAATTGAACCCAATGAAATTTTGGGGAAAAAAATTATATATTCATGAAAAAGTTTATAATTTTAATTATTAATATTTATATTACTTCTCACTAATTTGTAATTAAATTTTTTTTTTATAAATTACCTTGATTTGATATTTTCCCTTCTTTTAATAGTTTATTTATTTTTTACTTTTTAGATATACCTAATCTGGATACAGCTAAAAAGAAAAATATTTTAAAAAAAATATAATACATATGAAATGTATTAAATTATATATTTTTTTGAATTTAGTGTTTTTTTTAAAAAAATTAAAAAAATATTTTCCTTCTAAATATATTTAAATTATTTGAATTTAAAAATAAATAAAATTATTTAAAATATTTAAAAACTTACAATAACTCTAAAAAAAAAAACTCAAATTAAAAAAAAAAAAAACTCAAAAACATTATTTTAAGCCCCGTTCACTACTCTCCCTCCCATTCTATACAAGTTTTTGCGACCCCCCCATCTCTCTCTCTCTCTCTCGGCGTGCGTGCTTGCGTGCTCTCTTCGTTCTAGTCTGTTTGAGGTATGTTCTGCGAGCATTGCCTTGATCGATCGGGCCTTTGAGGTAGGTTTTGATCAAAAGTCAGATATTTTTCTTCTTCTTATCTTCGGTTCTTCAAAGTTATAGTCAAATCTCTGTATATGCGTATATTTGTATATATTAGTCTCGATTAATCGATTTGTGATCGGTAGATTTGATGAGTTTGGAAGCATATGATCGATTCTTTGCTGTGGAAATGAATTTTGGACAGTTTGAATATGATCGAATCAGAGGATAAATATGTGCTTATTTGTTGTGTTTAGTGATGGATTTGTTTGAAGTTTATCATCAAAGCTGGTTATCAATTGGTCTGATTGTAAATTCAGCAAAAATGATCTCTGTTTTTGTAGTTTTTTTTGTTTTTTTTAAATTTCTTCTTGAATTGTTACTTTTAATGCCTTCACGGTTTAGGTATGGATACACAATGGTGCACATCTGTTTAAGGTGTCTTTAGGAACTTTAACCAAACAACCATTTTTGTTTATTTCGCTGAGGTGCTACCCACCCTAACTTTTTTTTCCACCTCAGAATTTTTGAAGGCCAAGTGTTTGATGAATTGTGAAGTTTCATTTTTTGCTTTAATTTATTGGAAAGTTCTTTCGTGATTTTCATATTATCTTTTAGATGGATTGGAGTGTTAAAAATGATCTGTTGGTAAAATTTCTTCTTGCATAAAACTCTGTTTTGGTCAAGTTGTTTGTAGTTCATTTGTTTTTGTTTTATTTTCTATTGTTTTCTTCCTTCATTTTTTTTAACACCCAAGATCAAATCTGTATTGCAACTTGTGTGATGCCATTTATTTCCTCGACACTTCTGTAACATATGCTGTAGGTAGTCAATAAATTCAAAGTGGAGAAGTTCAGTGTGGGAAAAACTGGGAAGTTTGAGAAGCAGTAATTTCTTTATATTTAACGTCTTTAAACTCTTATTTTCAAATATTTTTATTGTATTTGCCTTTGGCACACATTCTAAAGGCCAAGGATGATAAAGTTTTTATCCCTTGCATTTTTCAAGTTGTTGTTTCACTTCTATCAATTTAACAGCTATCCCGCATTGCCTATTTATATCTCTTTATGTTCATGCTTTGTTCTTGGGTCTTTTTGTCTGCATTATTGTTTATTTTTCTTTTTATTTTTCCCAACTCTTTATGTTAAACTTCCACTCTTTGTTCCTTTATATGTTTTATTGCTAAATATAATTATCTTTTGGTTCTGACTGACATCATCATTGAAATTCCCATTTGTAACCTCTTTCAAATTCAATGAGATATTGAGATCCAACTAGCACTTAGTGTTATCTCATTTTCGCCTCAACATTGATTGTTGTTGAAATTCATTTTCGATTTTTGTTTCCTTTAAATCCATTGGGAGTTTATATTCTGCTTGGGACATCATTCTCCACACAACTTGTGGCTTGGAAAATGGAATTGCATTATTTTCTGCAGATGGCATTGATGCTTATTTGTCATTTCAAATTTTTTTTGTCTGTCTTGGTTCTTCTAGTCCTGCCTTTTTATCCTCACTACAAGTGCCTTTTAGTTTTAAATTAGCTGCCTTGGTTATTTCCTCTCTGTAATTGATAATTCCAGATAGTTAGGAGTAGCACGCAGCTTATGTTTAACTCATAGATAATAACATGGTTTGAAGCTGTAGGTGCATTTATTGTTGTCATGTTTGTGATCTAAATGTGTCATTATCTTCATTTAGGGCATTTTTCCATTAAATTTTGTTGGATAGAAGAGGGTATTTTCTCATATCTTCAAAGTATCTTGGCTTGACGTGCATGTCCCTTTTCAGGTGGTTCACTTTTTCTTTTTGATCGGAAGGTGTTGAGATACTTCAGAAAAGATGGCCATAACTGGAGGAAGAAGAAAGATGGAAAGACAGTGAAGGAAGCTCATGAGAGGCTCAAGGTTTGTGCGAAAGGATGATGCTTGTTGAAGGCAATTTTTATTTTTTAAGTTGATCCTGTCTACACCAGACAGAAGTTTGTGACTTTCAGGAATTTTGCACTATATGATATAATGAATAGTTCATGTTGTATATTTTTATTACACTTCCAAGGTAATTTGCTTGTATAATGTCCTTTCAGGCTGGGCCCATGGAGAAGAAAATGAAAATTTCCAAAGGCGAAGGTATTGGTTGCTTGAAGAGTGAGTGTCTAAAAGTTTGCCTTGCTTTTATCAAAGTTTGTGTTTATTTTGTCAAATCTTTGCACTTTGCTTTCTCTCTCTCTCTCTCTCTCTATATATATATATATATATACATATATAAATCTGTCTGTATTATGGACCACCTCTGGGCAATTGCTTTTAATATGAAGTTTATCTATTAATTAGTATTAGCGTATAAAAGTTGATTGAATGTAAATGCCTACTTGCAGCTTCTTGTGCATGTACAGGCATAAGTCCAGCCCTCTGATACTATTTAGCATTGAATAAACATCATTTGCTGAGTAGAATCTGGTTCGTTAGTTATATCTGCTTCTGGAACAGTTTTGCTGCTTTGGAAGTCCCATTACCTTTTTTTGTGAGGGAAAAAAGATGAAATATGGTTTAAAGTTTCACCCCTTTTCTTTGTCATACTAATCATTTTAATGTTTGGAATTACAACCATGTCTATAGTTGTAAACTCATGTTAACTTGTATGAACTTCCATGAAATTGACTACACCTTGAAAATTGAATCAATTTATGGAAGTTAATGAAAATTTGACCATTTTTGTTTCCTTAGTGGTTATTTTGGAAGGGCTTTTGCTGCACATTCTCATTTGCTTCTTATTTGGATGACACCTGCTGCAGGGAGCGCTTTAACATTGTTCTTGTCCACTATCGCGAAGTAAAGGTTAGAAATTTATTCTATTATTCCTTTGTTTCTTCATTATTGAAGAAATTCACAATTGATAATTTGTATACCGTATCAGATGATTCTTGAGCCAATATATATCATACATAATGCTGGCTATTTTAGAATAACATCGCTTTCTAACTTTCCCACCTCTTTTGTTTCAAGGTTTCTTGTGTATGTATAACTTCCACGTATTGGAATCTTGCTACAAAATATAATCTAATGTGTTTTGTTGCCCAACTTTTCACATCCGTGCTAGTTTCTTTTTGGACTAATGGTCATTACAATGTTCATGTTACTCGTAAGATTCCCGACTTAGTGGCACTTCTATGATCTGGAAAGCTTCTCTATCGGTTTTAGTACGTTACATTGTTTTGTTTCTTGTTGGTGCTTAATGGATATTGTTTTGGCCATGGCTATTCCCAGAGTACTTAACGTTACAATTTTTTTTTTTTTTTTTGTTTTTTGTTTTTTTGCTTTTTTTTTTTTTTTTTTTTTTTTTTTGCGACAGTAACAAGATGGTCACTAATACATTGTAGGCATTTTTTGAACTGGATTGGAAGTGGGAGTCTTCCTTCTTCTAGCTCTTAGAATCAGTGTGCCAAAGGTTGATTCTTGGGATATAGTTTTGTTGGTAAAACAAAAACCAAAATTCATGTTTTGTGTATTTAAGAATATGATGCATCTATCTGCTTTTCTTTTCTTCTGTACTCTTTTTGTTTCCCATTCAAATTTTCTGGAACAATGCATGTTTTCTTTGAAGGGTGCAACTTTTTATTTTACTTGGTTTTGTGACCTATAAGTTTTTGAACCACGTAACACCACAACAAAACTAACTATTTACGGCTTCAACTTTGCGGCACACATTAAATGCATGTCGTAATTAGTACATTCTATGACATTTTTTTTTTGCAAGTTGTTAGTAGTTTTTCAATAATGACATACATACCATGTAAGTCGTTAATTCATATATTTATGGCATATAAAAGTATGCCGTAAAAAATCTATATTTTCATGACTTAAAAAATATGTTATAAAATATTTGCACTTAAAACAACATACATTTTATGTTGTAAAATATTATAACTTTACACGCCATGCATTAACATGTTGTGAAAATTTTTGCAAAAAAATAAAAATAAATAAATAAATTCAATTCGAATTTTTTTTATGGCATGCAAAAGCATGCCGTAAAAAATGCATATTTTCATGGCATACAAAAATACGATGTAAAATATCTGCACTTAAGACGACATACAATTCATGTTATGAAATATTATAACTTTACACGGCATGCATTAGCATGTTGTGAAAACTTTTATTAAAAAAAATTTCAATCCAATTTTATTTTTCTTTTTTTTGATTTAAAAAAGCTAACAATTTCCAACTAAGTTTCTCACTTTAGATTTTTCTAATTGAGGACAACATAAAAAATAATTTATACATTATTTTATAATTTAGGGTCTCTTTTAAGGGATAATTGCACCCAGTGGGATTTTGGGAAAAAAATTACATATTCATGAAAAAGTTTGTAATTTTAATGATTAATATTTATATGGCTTCTCACTAATTTGTAATTATTTTTTTTTTAAAAAAAATTACCTTGATTTGATATTTTCCCTTAATTTAATAATTTATTTATTTTTTACTTTTTAGATGTGCCTAATTTGAATACAACTAAAAAGTAAAGTATTTGTAAAAAAAATATAATATATATGAAATGTATTAAATTTTATATTTTTTTGAATTGAGTGATTTTTTTAAAAAATTAAAAAATATTTTTCTTTTAAATATATGTAAATTATTTGAATTTAAAAAGTAAAAAAAAATATTTTAAATATTTAAAACTTACAATAACAAAAAAACAAAAAAAAAGACTCAAAAAAATTATTTTAGCCCTGTTCACCACTCTCACAGACTCCTCTCATTCTATCTGTACATGTTTTTGCCCCAAACCCTCTCTCTATCTCTCTCTCTGCGTGCGAGCTCTCGAGTGCAAGCTCTCGAGCTCTCTTCGAGCATTTCCTTGATTGATCGCGCGACTTCGCATGACCTCACAATGTATGTCATTCACTTTCTCTCCCAATTGATCAATTTTTCTCTGTCTCTATCATTTTTTCCCAAAAGCTTCGAATTCATCATTTTATTTGAAGTTAGGGTTTGGTGAGAGCCATGGAAATGTAGACTACAAGCCAAATGCATTCTCAATCAATTGATCTCAAATCCTAACTGATCTCTACACGCTCCTGTGTATCGAACAATTCAGTGAGTTTGAAACTCGTCATACTTCGTATTTTTTCTTGTGTGTGTTTACTGGATCAATTGAAGTTTGTATTGATAATTCGGTTTTTTCGGAGGTCTGGCAGATCACTAGACAAGTCGATTTCAATGCTTCCGATGGAGCTGGCTGCTACTCGAAGTTCTCAAGAGATGAGGAGATCTGATAAGTTCACTCACATCTCTGAATTGACTCATGAGGGCTTGCCAAGGAAGAAGACTTTCATAGTTATTGGAATTAATACTGCTTTTAGTAGTAGGAAGAGGTGTGATTTGGTTAGACAAACTTGGATGCCTCAAGGTGATAATATGATATTGTCTTTGTGTGTATGTCCTACTATATCTTAATTTCGTGGCTTTCCTTGACTAGCTTTTTGGGTTTGATTAGGAGAGAGACTTCTTCAATTGGAACAAGAGAAGGGAATTATCATCCGGTTCATGATCGGCCATAGGTAAATCTCTTCTGCATTTTCTAACAAGTTGGTTAGTTTAGTATTATTTGAAAACAATAGGAATTCTTCGGGCAATATGATCTCATTATTAATTTTTTGAAGTTGGATCCATTGCTTTTCCATGATATAGATTTGTCAAAAGTCAGCTCCTGCTTGTGTAACAATACACATTGTTAAGCAAATAACTGTATCATTATCACATGAATTGCCTTTAAAAATTAAAATAGAATATCCAGGAAGTTTTGAGATGTTCACTTGTTATGAGAATGAACAAGTTTTAGCTTATTTTTTGTTTACTGTATTTCCATTCCATTGGTGGTCAACAACCATAGTCATAGCACAAGCACAAATAATCTTTACCACATGCTGCAGGGTAATTTACTTTTATGTGGTGTGATGTTCTTTGATGAGACTAGAAAAAGACAAACTAAATTACCATGAAGATGTTTGTTTGTATATCTAAGAACTGCAGAACTATTTGGCCAATGAATCAATTGGTAAGGTGAACTAAATCTTAATTGATCTGCATTCCACATTGGTGTTGGTGGACAAGTACAAGAAGCACTCTCCCGTGGACTTTGATGTCAAATTTATGTAAAGCTGCACTAGGAAGGAAACTTTGATCGCTGCTCCATATGGTTGAAATCATGGTTGGTTTGAACAAGGTGAACTTGTAGTTCTAGGATTTAAGAAGGTTAGGGAAAGTTTGGAGGTTTTTGTAGACAAAAACGAGTTGGAATTAACTTGATTTTTAGAATTATAAGCTGTAGAAACTTAAAAGTGTAATAAAATTTATGGGCAGCAATTATTTTGTCGTGTGTAGATGCTGTAAATTATAGTCCATGAAAATTAATTAAAACATACTTGACCAAACAAGGTTCCAAGGGTTGCTTCGTTTAAAATTCTAAAGTTGTCTCCTCTCTTCTGATTGTGTCCCGCATCTGTTTCTTAACTGGTATGTAGATGCAGTAAATTATTGTCTTAGGAGCCTTAGCATAATCATGTGTAAGAAGACAGTAGTTGAAGAGGATTTTCTCAAGGGTATGAGGTGGACAGTTAAAGTTTGATTTTGCACCTTAAGGGAGGATATTCCCCTGGATTTTAGGTGGATAGTTAAAGTTTGATTTTCACCTTAAGTGCTTTAATAATGATAAAAACAGCAAAATTTAAAGAGAATTTATACTTACAAGAAAACAAGAAAATTTATGTTGAATAGTGACAGAATGACCTAAATGCCATAGAGCAAATGTTGGAAAGCCAAGAAACATTGGTGTTAGATGAGATATAATGAAATGAGTTGTAGCCGAAAGAGAATAAAAAATGGAAAAGAGTAAAAGGGATTTATGAGGATATTTGATTGAATGAGCATAAAAAATTGGAAAGACTAGAATCAACATGGGTACTCCTATAAAAATATTGGAGTAGCTTAATGGGTGGTACATTGATTGAAATAATTCATGCATGATCATGCCCTATAGAAACTTTGATTATTGAACATAATTGATCATGTGACTTTCTGAGTAACTGCTATGAGAAAAGGACACATTTGGGACCAATATATTCTTTTTAGACAATGAAAGCTTCAATGTGTGAATAATAGATTACTATTGTCTTACTACCATGCTTTAAATAATGTTATTAGATCTTTTATAGAGTCGTTATTAGTTGTAAAATATTTTAGTTGGTTAAAAATTTTTAATTCCCCAATTTTGAAGTCATTGTTTTTTGTAGAATTTGGAGAATGTAGTATCCTATGGATTTGCAAATAATCTTCAGTTTTTAGTGGAGAGTTGAGTTATGAGGATTTGAGGTTGTGGTTGTATGAATTTTCCTAAACCTTGTGACGAGAATGAGACACTTCTCCCTCCCCCCCTCTTCTCCTCCTCTGTTTGAATTACCCCAAGTACTGTTTGAGGGTTATTGTTCATAATGCCGTCAAATTGCACATTTTAGCCCCAAAAGCCTACCAAACTAAGTTTAAATTAACCTTAACCCTTTCTCCTACGTATTGATTTTCAATCTAACCATTAATACCCAAAAATTATTTGTTTTCTAGATTTCAAATAGTCTAATTCATATGAGAAATAGAGGTCTTTTTAATTTGGGGTTTAGAAAAAGCAGGTCCTAACTCAAACCAACGCAGATCCATTCGAATAGGATAATATTACTAAATGGAAGATACATACCTTTTGCTCTTGCTACAATATATTTTCATCATATAGGGCACTTGTGTGTAATATTTGAGAATTATGCTGAATGCCAATTGTTTTGATTGGTGCAGTGCAACATCTAACAGCATACTAGATTGAGCTATTGATTCAGAAGATTTTCAGCATAAGGACTTCCTCAGGCTGGTAAGGATGCACAGAGCTTGTATGTACCAAAAATATTGCGGACAATTCACAATTTTTTTCCCCAATCTTGGTGCTCATGAGTCATGTTGTCTTGCAGGAGCATGTTGAAGGGTATCATGAATTGCCTGCAAAAACCAAAATTTTCTTCTCCACTGCTGTTCCAAAATGGGATGCTGATTTCTATGTCAAAGTGGATGATGATGTCCATGTCAATTTGGGTATACACTGTCTTTTTCCATTTTCTTTTCTTGTTATATTCTTTCTTCATTTTTTCCCAATTTTGGGTAGCTTTTGTCAATTTTGAATTTGTTGAGTGATGCAGAGTGCATAAAACTGTTATGACCTTACCACTACTATATATTTTCCAAAAAAATTCATAAGTTTGCAAGCTTTGAAGTAGAGATTTCCTCTTAAGATGGATTTATTTTTCTGCAGGTTGTTGAGTTTGCCCTGGCTTTGCAGGAAGCTGTGTGCTTTTCTGTTGTTCTGGAATGTGTGCTTGCACTTGTTGCTGCTGCTGCTGCAACATTTGCTCTTCAAATCCTTACAATTGGTATTGGGATAGGGCCTTTATGTATTGGCCAAGTTAATTGATTCTTTATCTCTCTCTATTGCTCCTAATAATGAATTAGACTTGACTGGCTTGTGTTGTGTATAATCTTTTTGCTTTCATTTGTACATATAATTTGCTATCTGATCTTGTAATTTGTTTTTCAATTTCTAAAGTGGGCATTTTAGTGATATCTGTGTTCAGATATTGAGTTTACTCATGTAATGAACTTTGAATTTGCTTTTCTTCTCTCTCTCTCTCTCTCTCTCTATATATATATATATATTAAAAATATCCTTTTACAACATACAAAATTATGCTGTGTAAAGTGTAATAATTTATGACATATAAGAAAATACTGTAAAAGATTATATATGGCATATAGAGTATGCCAGAAATATACTAAAAATAACTTTTTACGACATACAAAATTATGTCGTGAAAAGTGTAATGATTTATGACATGCAAGAAAATGTTGTAGAAGATTATATATGGCATACATAGTATGTCATAAATATATTAAAACTAATTTTTTACGGCATGCAAAATTATGCCATGGAAAGTATGATGATTTATGGCATGACAAAAATGTCGTAAAAAATTATATTCGATATACAAAGTATGTCATTAATGTTTAATTTATTACTTTTTACAACTTTACTTGCATACCGTAAATGACACTCAACTTTCCACGGCATGTCATATAATGACATTTGTGTGCATGCCGTGAAAGAGTTTTTACGACATGCATTGCAAGTCATAAAAATTCAATTTTGTTGTAGTGCAAACAACCTTTTTCCTTAATTTTTCCATCTTCTCTACCAATCACTCAGTGACTTAATTGATATAGGAGCCACTCATGACAAATCCCATCATCTTAGGATAGATGCCCAAACTTTCCAAACAGCATGGCAATCAATCAGGGGATGGTTTGATGTTTTCGGCTTATCATTACAGAAAAGACATAACCCAGAATTAGAAGCTATAGAGACGCCAATCTTTAGGAGCCATTAACTCTTCAAAGCCAAGCTAGCCATCCAAAATATTGGACTTTAAAGAGGGAAACACTTGACCACCATTCAATTCAGCTAGGGAATAGAGGGATCAAACCGAAAATGTTCCTGAGGGTTCTGCCATCCAGCGCATCAGGTCCTGGGTCCTTTTTTTTTTTTTTATTATCGGTTGAGAGAAGTTGGATTGAAGGCTATAAAAGACACCATCTTTTTATTTTTTTGCTCGTTCAAAGACACCATTTTTGGGGGGGTCTAAGTTAATGACACAATAGCAATTTAATTAAAAATGGCTCAAAAGAAGATGTTAGGTTGAACTAGTGTGTACTAGTCTTTGTAAAGTAATTATATATATATATATATATAATTTGTATAGCATTATTCAACTACTAAGCTTAAGATTGACTGTAGGGTGGAGATAAAACTTGACACAAAATTCAACAGCCAAACAGGAGGGATGATACCTCCCCTTCTCCACCAGAGAGAGAGAGAGAGTCCCAAAATTGTCTCTATTTGCCTATTGATGTGTCTTTCTTGGCATAGTGTTATTTCTGATCATTCATTTTCCTAGTGCATTGGTTTAGATGATTTTTATTAAAGGAATATACTTGTACTGTGGCTGCAGCCCTTGGATGAGTTGCTTGGGCTTTAGTGGCTGTGGCTGCAGCTGTGTTTTTTGCTGGTGCTTCAGCTGTGATTGTTGTGTTTTCATGACACCTGGACACACACTTGGATGCATAGACTTTATAGCGACCCTGGATCTTCCTTCTTTGATTTTGTATCCGGACTTAGATTCTGTGGAGTTGGTTGTTGTATATATTTTGTTGTCATCCTTTAATTCCATATATTTGAGTTTTAGGATGTATTGGGCGTGTTTCGAACAGGTTGGTTGAGCTTTAGTCCCAGTCCTTGTTGCCCAGATTTTTGGTGGTCCACTCGAGCGCGTCCCTTGCGCTTGAGTAGAGTTTACACACTTTCAGCATTTTGTGCCTCTGCAAAACTTCTGCAGGTGCGTTTTTCACGCTCGAGCGGATTCCTTACGCTCGAGCAGGTCGCGTTCGAGCGGGTTTTCAAAGTCTGTAAAAATACTGGAAGATGGTAATCGAGGCTCGAGCGGGCTTTCCTTTGCGCTCAAGCGGGTGTATTTTGTTTTCATGTCTTGGTGCTCGAGCGTGTATTTTTGGGCTCGAGCGGGTCTAGTTTCTTGTGTTTGACGCTCGAGCGTCCTATTCTCCGCTCGACCGGGATAGTCGTTTATCAAATAGCAGCTGGATGATTTTGAATCACTTTTCAATTTCCTTTCTCTCTCTTACTTTTCTAAGCCCTCTTTTGAGAGCTCCTCTCTCTAGAATATACCTTCTCTCTGGGGATTGATCTAGCTTGAGTGATCTACTTCCTTAGTGTCTTTGCAAAGAGTGTAGAGCTTGACTTGGGCTTCCTATCAATCCGAAAATCTTGGGTTTTGGAGCATTCTGAGATTTCTTCATCATCTCCTTTGAGTCTTATCTCTTGAGATAGGGATTTCTACTCATCTTTATGGGCTTTAACCTATATGTTGAGCTTTTTGTATAAATGGTTTGGTTTTGGGAAGTTAGGGTTTGAGATGTGTTATATTGGAAATAGGGATTTTTGTTCTTTTGATTCAAACATATGTGCTTTGGGTCTAAAAGGGAGGTTATTAATGCTGTCGATAATATTTGGACCTTAGGGTCAATATTGAGAAAAATGAGGAAAATGTCATGTTTGGGTATATTTGGGTCATTAGTGTAATTAATGACATTTATTATGGAAATATGAGATTGAGTTGGAAATAATGTAATTGGCTCATTATGAGATAGAATGGTGGAGTTGGAATTATTAATCGCTCACCTTGGAAATTGTTGACAAATTATCTGTCGATATAATTATTATCTGTTTAGAAATAATTGTTTTGGGCTATCGGTGGAGGACAGTCTTGATTGTTGTAAACATTGCATGATGATTATGTGAATTAAAACTAATCAATTGAATATGTCATTGAATATGACGGTTGGAATAATACATCAAATTTATGTATTGATTGATTATGTATATGATATGTTTTTATATACATTGTGTTGTATGGGAGAAGATAGGGGATCTACTCCACGGTTTAGGAGGAGATAGGGGTTGGCCTCCTAAACCGGGTATTAATTGGGAGGAGATAGGGGATGGACTCCATTGATACAGCAAATATGTGTATCTATTGTGAAGTATGAAAGTGTTTGAATGTGCTATTGATATAGCAAGTATGTGTATCTATTGTGAATTATGGAAGTATTGTTGATATGAGCTATAGTCTCATTAAATTATTGGTCAGGTTATGAGCCTTATTCATAAATTGAGAACTGGATAAGTAATGGAAAATAAAATGAAACATGGACATATTGGTCATGTAATTGAAAGGAATTATGAATTGATTTATGTGAGTTAAACATTTATCAAATGTTCATGTTTTAGTTATTGCTCATGTTATGTTTAGCATATCTCTACTGGGCATTGGCTCACCCTATATGGGACATCATTTTCAGGTACAGGTGCTATGTCACCTCCAAGGACGTAGCTTAGGAGGCTTGAGACTGTTAGACCCTTTTTGTCATTTTTGTTGTATTACATGTATATCAAGTCAAGGGCTTACTTTGTGTAGAGTTAGTACTCTCCCTTTTGTAACCAAGTGTTGACTTGAAAAGTTGTAAGCCTATAGGGCACTTACTTTTGTTGTCAACATGTAATACCTTTTGTAAGAATACTCTGATGATTGTAATATGAAATCTCTTTTCCTTATCGTGAATGTATGATGTTATGGGTTCATTTTAAGGGCGTTACAACTTGGTAGAGCATACCGGGTTCGAATACTTTGGGTACGCGGGAAGTGGTTAGTACCACAATGGGTTCATCTCGTTTGATAGAGACTTAGATGTGTTGTTATATGCTTATGTGATAACATGTTTTACGTGACTATTTGGGTATGGTATTTAGTTTCTAGGATGGTGATTGGATCCTTGGGTTTCTGTGAGTCTTGTTCGAAAAGCACTTGATCAATGCTGTTTCTAACCGGAACTCTAGTAACGCCTCGGGGCTATCATTATCCAGAAATGAAATTCGTTGGTGCTTATGTGATTATGTGCTTACCTTGAGTGAATTACAGTTGTCCATTGCATTAGGACGCGAGTGTTATAGCTTCGGCACATTTGTGAATGTGCTAATGCTCTTCGTTACCTTTATTAGGATGTCAGGACGAGAACGAGGTGGTAGGCAAGGTAAGCCTAGGAGGCAGGAGATGCCTATACCGGATGAGGTTCCGGCGCAGCAGGAGGGTGTTGGTCAGGCTAATGTGGTTGAGCCAGTGGGTCAGCCGGCCATGGGTGCCTTAGCCTGCGAGATAGCAGGAGCTATGAGGGAATCCATAGGCATTCTCAAAGCTGAGAATCCAGTCCAGGCCCAGGTTGTTGATGCAGGGCCTTCTTTTCTGAAGAGGGAGTTCTTCCGGTCTAATCCGGATGAGTTTGTTGGGGATCCTAAGGAGCCACTTAAGGCTGATGAGTGGTTGGAGCAGATGACTAAGACGTTTGAGATGATTGGCATCGAAGACGGGGCATTGAAGGTGACCTTAGCATCTTTCCAACTTAAGGAGAAATTCTTATCTCCAGCTGTCAGGGAGAAGTTGAGGGACCAGTTTAGTTAGCTCAAGCAGCTGAGTTTATCAGTGGCTGAGTTTGAGGCTGCATTTACTAGCTTATCCAGGTTCGCACCTGAGCTTGTGGCGTCTGAGGAACGCCGTTGTATCGAGTTTAAGAGGAAATTGAGGCATGGCCTCAAGATGAGAGTTGGGGGTTGTATGACCTGGGACTATGGGCGCCTTGTGGATGCTGCAGCTCATATGGAGATTATGATGCAGGAGGAGGAGGAGAGACAGAGGGGCTCCAAGAGGAGTCAGGATGGTCAGGGGGACGGTAGGAGGCAGAGGGGTCCTAACCCTCAGCAGTCCTAGGGTGCTTTTGCTAGAT